TAACTCCATTTTTAATGTTTTGCAAGACCAAGATCTAAGTCCCACAAAGTTCAATGGTTTTACTTCTCCCTGTCAGACACATGTACGTTCCTGACCTAAACAGCATTTTCCTGGTTTTTTTGGGGATATAGATTATTTTACAGAGATTTTACTTCAGAATTCTTCATCACTAACAATAAGATTTGCAGGATAAGTTCACCTGTGAAGAGTTCAGGAGCCATATGGATAGGGGTCCCAACAATACTTCCAGACATCATTGCTTCAGGTTTACAAAATCCCAGATCAGTGATTTTAGCTCTATTGTTTTTATCAAGCTGTAAAGAATGCAAAATGTGTATCAATACAATGATTATCAAAAACATCCTAGTATTTACTCTTTATCACTGCCTTCTACAAACAATCCCAATTTTAAAAGTGTCTTTGGTGAACAAAGTTAAAGTTTATCAAATCTCATACTTTGTCCAGTGGCACCAATTACATGCTCCTGCAAGTAACTAGGTGGAATGTAAAAAAGTAGCCATCTTTGTTGCTCCTATTATAACTTTAGATCATTAGATTTGATATTGGAGGTTCTACTTTTAACTATTAAGCCCAAGAGTCCCATGATCCTTTAAGTTCTTTAAGAAATTTTCAACATATGGTAACACACAACTTCTAATCCTGACCATTAACTGGATAGAACAGAATTCTCTTATGAAACAAAACAAACATTCTTTCAATCCATTCAGTTTTACCACTAGTACAACCAGAGTATTACAGTGGTTAAGGTATAGGATTAAGACCATGGAAACCCACCTTTAAATCCACATTCAGCCATGGAAGTTTACTGGGCAACCTTAGCCTAACCTATACCCAATCTATCGCATAGTGTTATTGCTAGGGGAAAAAATGAAGGAAGGAGCACTATGCATACTGCCCTGAGTTTCTGGAGAAAAGGGGGAATATAAATAACAAACTAATAATTAAAAGCATCATGTAAATTTGATGCAATTATTTTTATTTTGCACAACAGGGATAATGAGCTGTTACCCTTCTTGAGCCATCTGGATATAGTGACAGTTTATCCCTTACTTGGCTATATCCCATATTGGCTACTGTATTGCAACATGCTCTATATAGATTACCCTTAAAGGATGTCCACAAATTGTAATTGCACTGTTAGCCAGTGCAAAATACAGGTATCATAAATCTGTAAGGGTTACCAATTGCTTATTGTGCACAAAATGTTGGTATTAACCTTTAAACAATTTAGGATCTCTCTACCTGAAAGACCCCATCTCCAGTTATGACCTTGTCTAAGATCTGTAGGAAAGGCCCGTTGTCACAGGACTCTCTTATCTAGAATTAGTAGAAGGTATTCTCTTGTTATGGAATGCACTTCCTGAAGAACTACATTTGGCCCTCGCTCTCTCAGCTTTCAGAAAATCTGTAAAGATGCATCTCTTCCACCAGGTTTTTAACTGTTAATCTTTTTCAGTATTAAATTTAATAAGTATTGTATTAATTGCTTTAGTCACTTGAAGGCCAGACATTTCCTGTTCAGCATTAGGGTCAACAGTCTTAGGAAATTATGCCTCTCTTGTTCTTTAATTTTCTATATATAGAAAAGGTATGTTTTCTGCTTCAGTGATACAAAGATGACTTTCCTCTATTTTACAATAACGATCATCATGATTTTTATATAAAAGCAAAGCAGATTTCAGGGAATGACTCAAATAAAACCACTGTTTTATCTACAGATGTTTCATTTTACTTCAGCAAAGAATATAAAATCACAGGCAGAAAATTATTCCTTACCAGTACATTTTTAAGTTTGATGTCTCTATGAACAAGCCCCTGGCTATGAAGAAAACGAATCCCCTCAACTACATCCAGTGCAATCTGTAATCTTGTCTCCAGTGTCAAACCAGCCTAAGTGAAAAGAAAACTCTCTTTTAACAATCTCTTAATGGGATTAGTACCTCCAACTATTAAGAAGTGGTTCTTGTATATGATGAGAGGTTTTTTAATGAAATGTTCCCTTAGGAGAATGGCTTCCTCCCAGAAGATTAGTTGAAGAGGTCACAGCGTGGTTCTGCTTGTACTATTCTACTTCATTCTGCTAGGCTGAATCTGAGTGCTAACTGGAACCAGCTGTGTTACATTACTTCTTTTTTTCTTTCCCAGGCCCAAAACAAACCCTGCCTATTTCATGATAGTTCGTGTGGATTGCTACCTACCAGTCAACCTACATAAAAAAGACCAAAACCATGATTATCCAATGCTGGCTCAATTTCATATAAAGCTTTTTTTATATATTCAGGGAAGTCTATATTTGCGATAAAAAGAGGAAGGAAAAGATTTCAAAGGCAGCTCAATGAGAACCGAGCACACTCAGCAGCCATCTGAGGCAACTGAATATTGAAGGTGGCAGCTGAAAAGTAAGATGGAGTTAGCTGCTTTTTGGAATCTCTGAGACAATAGTGTAGGGAAAATTATAGTCTCCTCCTTGCATTTAGCAGAAAGTTCCAGGAGAAAGGAAGAACACTATTTTTTTTCTCTCTACCCCATTCCTCAATATAATAGTGATATCTGATTATTTAGCACAATGGGGGGAAAATATAGGAACTAGAAAATAAAAATGTTGCTTTTTCACTCCTCATATGAGCCTTAAATAGCCTTATTCCCATTTCCTGACTGGCTGGACATAAACAGGAAACACGGAGATGATAATTTAATCTAAACCAAAAGAACCATACTATCAGAACCATACTTTTGAGTGGAAAGGATTACATGGAGGTGTACATGGAGGTGAGAGCTACCACACATGGCCACTAGTTACACAGGCATTTCATTTTCTTCAAAAAAGTTCCTCCTTACCTTTAATCCTGTATAGAGGTCTCTGTGTAATTGTTCCATTATCAGTAAAACAGCAATACTGGAACCTCCCCCGTAGCTATAATCTATCACTGATCCATGAAGGTCTACCAACCGCTCATGCTTTGGCAGTGACCTAGACGGTGTGTCAAAAATAAGATCGAAGTGGTAATTCTCCCTATTCTATTCCTCAGGAAAAGACAATTACTATCAAAAGAAGTGAAGCATCATAAACAGTTTTTCTTAACTTAGAACATTTTAAGATTGCTTTTCTTCAAGCTATACTTCTAGAAATATGTACTTAGTTTAAAATATTGTTTTTAATCTGTGTTAAGTTGAAAAGATTACAGATAACTATTCTAACTATGAAAATGTGCAAACTACAGCAAAACTGCTAAAAGATTTTATCCATCTTTTCGCCTAGATCTACTCATCTTGATATAGTTTGGCAGACTTCTCTCGATTATTTCCTGTTCATTAACAAAAGTATTTAATTGTACCCACCTCATATAGTGAAATTCCAGCGCAAGATCATTCCAATGCTTCTCATCTGGTGGAACAACAGATTTGAGTGCACATGGGAAGTGTCCCCCCCAGGCGTTACATAGGTACACCACTCCATATTGCCCTCGGCCCAATTCACAGCCTAGTTTGGGTTTACCTGAAACAAATAACAACTTTATCAAAGTAAAGTATTTTCTATAGTCCTTTCTGGTAGCATGCATTCTTCAAGTTTTATTAACTTTAATGCTGCGACTGGAATAATATTAATTTCTGTTTCAGTCCGTACAATTTATAATACCAAAAGGGGTATACTGAATTAGGTACAGTGAAATAATATTGATATAAAGGATAACTGCTTCCTGGCATCTGCACTGTTATTTGGTTTGAATTTTTAAATATATTCCATTATCTTCTGTTGTTATCACGTGCTGTGTTTTTAGTTTATTACATTTTCTATAGTTGCCCTCAAACTTAGTAAAAAATACACCAAGCTATATGCACAACATTTCAACTCGTTCTACTTTGCTTTCACTACTATTTCCAGGTCTAGCATTATCCTTCTACAGGCTAAAGCAGTCTTTTGGTTGCACAATGCCTCCTACTGGAGGAAGAGGGAAGAAGTGATTTTTTAAATTTTTGCCAGTACCCTTCCAGAATTTACTTCCAGAGGAAAAAGTAGACTGCGGGGGGGAAAAAAAAAAAGCACAATTTCCCCAATCCTGTAGAAAGAATCCTGGGAGTGAAGTTTCATTAATAAACAGTCTAGATTTAAGCCTAAATGCCAGACCACCTATGTCCACTGTAACTTCTAAAGATGTATTCAGAAGTTTGTATTTAAAAGTAAATTTATAATTTTAATTTGAAATCAATCAATTTGGATTGATAAGAATAATTAAAAATGTAAAACATTTAAAATCCTTTTTCTGTTCACCTGATTTGAAGGAATTATTGTAATAAGAATAAGCAGTCGCTGTCTAACTTATTCTACCTGCAACTCCCAACTATATCATACAGTTACCCTATTTTTTTCATTCTTTTAAACATTAATTTAAATAATGTGTTCTCTTAATGTTGCTTCATACTGCGTCAATCAATTTGTACTGAAGCTTCAATTCTGTGATTTTAATTCCAACTCTGTAGCTCCTCTGAGTGCTGTATATAAGAGATTCAGCTGCCCAACACAAATAGCTATCACTGGCAAAGGAGGAACATAGATTAAAGCAACTATGCAAGGAATGGGCTCAACTTAGATATCAGCCAACTTGGGCTATGATTTATTTAAAATATGTAATTACTAATTACATGAATGTGATTTCTGTCTAGAGTCAGAATTAAAACATTAGCCTTCTAAATCATGGTGACTTCTAAATTCTCCAATCATCCTAGTCACTATGTGTACATAATATAAACAAAGCACCATCTACTTGTAAAAGTGAAAATGTTTTAGGAGAAAATGAAGCCAAGCCATTAATAAATAAGAAAAGAGTCATGGCAATGCTCACCATGTAACAAAACATCTTGCAGGGACCTGCTTTCCAGCGAGAGACGGGCAAGGCGAGGGGCATGGTCTTTCCGCACCTTCAACCAAAGATCCTCTGTTTTCTCAAGCCTACCTGAATGGCCAGCCTCTAGCTAACAAAAAATTAATCAAATATAAATACATCCTACAGATCATATCTAGGTAGAATACTCACACATTATTCTACTTCCTACTATATTAAAAAATTAAATAGGGTCCCAACATAATAGTGGTTTGTTTGGAATAATTTCCATGAGAAGAATTTTCTAGAACATTGTTCCTTTCCAAACCATACTTTTTTAAAAAAAAATCTGTTTGATAACCTTATAGTTTAAAAATTGTTATTAGTTATGAATAATGCATTGTTTCCAATGTTGGAGAATTGGTACAGAAATTCCGTCCTGAAATTAAGAGTATGCAAGTGCACCAACTGCTTCTAAAGTTATTAATGGGTTCCTATGAAATGCTTCCTTACTTGCTCTTAACAGCTATTTAGCACATATATAACACAACAGCTATATATATATACACACACACACTCTTCTAATGCCTGCGATTGTTTATTATAATTAATATTCTACTCAGGCATTTGCCTATTCCATATTTGATAAGATAGACTGCAATAGTCTAGCAATTCAATGTCTATTACCTGCCTTCAAACTTCACTAGATTTCACTAACTGCTTGGTTCCATTCTTTTAAAAGGATTTTAGTCCTAGAAATGGAAATTCTATAATTAAGAATCTATAATAGAGTGACAATGAATTTTCCTTAGACCACAATAGGCCTTTAAGATAAAATAAATTAGTAATAAATGAAGTTGGCCAGTGTGAGCACAAAAACATGGGGGGGGGGTAAGTTTGTTAAGCCTGCCTGGGAGAATGTTTGGCAGAATTCTGATTAAAAGAATATGACAGTGACAGTGAGCAAGTTATGAGAAGTGCAGTATAAAATGGAGGTATCTCACTTCCATACAACAGTTTGTTTCTGCCCAACCACAGAACCAACAGCAAATGGGTACTGAATCAATGTGGACTGAACTATAAAAGTGAGTGATTGGTAAAAAGGAAGCTGAAGTGTTTTGTCACAGACAGAAAATGAACAAGGATTAAATTGTAAAACAAATACATGAAGGAAGAGTAAAGCAGTCAAGAGGAAGGAAGAGCAAGACCAAAAAGTAAGGATCAGATGGGAGTCTATGAGATCTTGAACAAGAGAGGAATGGAAAGTTTAAAGAACAGGCAATGTATGATGCAGTGCATAAACACAGCAGAAACAAGGAAAGTTTGCAACAAGAAGGTAAGGAAAGGTATAGTAAATGATTCAATGTAAAATCAATTTATCGATGAAAAATCTTTTTTCTTATCTGGTACATCTAATTTCTTACACTTAGTATTTCTTACTCCCCTTCTATGCTTTGCATATTGTTGCTTACATTCAAAGGGAGTAGCATGATAGATATGCATTTATGTGTGAAGTTGTATTACTTATGCAAATTAACTGTGATCTTTCCAAAGTTACCAGATTGAGTTGCCCATATTCATCCTAATTTAAATCTATTACTATCCCTACGTTGTCCCAAAATCCTTCAGTACTGCAAAATTGTTGTTGCACATTTCCTCTTGATGTTTAGCAAGAAATGAAATATATGTATTAAATTTCTAACATGTCTATTAATATCACAAATAACCCAATAACCACACTCCAAGCAGGCTAAAAATTCCACACTCTGCACATAACATCACCATTTTACCAGCATATATTCTATGGCCTTTGGCTGCCAAACAGTTTTAGAAAGTGTGAAATATAGTTGTCTACTTGCAAAAATTAGAAGTAATTATCCCTTGGAGAGCAGGCAACAGGCAGCATCTTCTTCCAACCTCCATTTCCAGCTTCTGCCCATCCCCTTATCTTTGGAGCACAGTTGTAGCTAGTTTATCTACTCTTTTAATGTGGCCCTAGGTACAATGCATAATAATAAATGCAATAGTGTTTATTCCCTGGTAACTTAGAATTGGCAAATGAGCACCACAGTATCATCATTTCCATTTCACCCATTTTAATGGCTAGAATAAACAGCTGCAACACCACATAGTCCTCCAGTTCAATGGAATTCGTACAGTTGGAATTCTTAAAAGGACCACAAGCGATAAGATGGTATCAAAGTGCTCTTTATGATGACAAAGAATGGAGAGATAATCAATAGATGTTTTACATATTACTTGAAAAGCTGAGATTAACTTTTCTAATTCATGTTCTTTATGGTTCCTTTTACATCAAACTGACCTGTCGCAAAGAGGCAGCAAAAGCTTCATGAGAACTATTTAGCCTTGTTCGGAACTGACTGCAGATGCTCTTGGCCAATCTGGATGCACTAAGACTCTCAATGGCATCCTGAGCTACCTTCCTTTTCCACTCTATGGTGATAGCAGGTGGGCTCACCCAAGTGATCCGTTGTATTATCTAAAGAAGAAAAAGATGTGTATCTTATTGTCAGAACTCAAGTATTAAAGTGCTGTTTTCATCTTAGCCAGCACTAGCTTCAGATAATGGCAGACACAAATAAATTAGGATAATGAATAAGACTACATGAGTACATAAACTGCTATATCCAACACACCTGCCATATATTAACTGCATATTTTAAAAATCAATTGTCTTTTATTCCAGCATAAAATGCCTCTGGACATTAATACATTATAGAAGTAGCTATTTTCCAATTATGCAGATGGATGATGATACAAATTAATCGACAGAGGACAATGTACCTAAGGTAAGTTTCATTACAATGAATGGGTGCTGTTAAAATATTTAATACCTGCTTGATCTGTTCCCACAGCATCCGTGATACTGTTGAACCAGAGTGAAAAGTAACTTCTACATGGTAAGCTGCATTCAATATCTGCAAATGGAACACAGATTAGTTATATACTTGCAAACTGAAATTACTGTCCACTATATTTAAAGAACTGAATACCTTGGAAAGAGCTTCATAAATAAATTTCAAAAATGGGTTCTTTGTGCCAACTTAAAAACCAAACTGTTTTTGGTCTGTGTATAAATTCAGTCCATTCCCAATTTACCCAAGATAAAGAAGAGCTTAAATTTAAAGCAACCCCATTTCCCAGAGGAAAAGTAGCTCAAAACATACACACACACACACACACACACACTTGTGTATTGCCTAACTTCCTTAATATGTCAATTAGAATTGCCAACTCCAATTGAAATCAATTCTGGAGATTAACTGCTCACTCAATTGTGTTACGCTGCAAACACAGTATACACACAAATACAATGGCAAGAGGCCACACTTCAAAAAAAATTAAATAGGATTTATTTTAATCAATATTAACTAATTGGCCATAAATTAAGTTACCCCATATGTAAAATTAATTGATCACAATCTATGCACACATGTATAATTATTCTCTTACACACAAAAGTGCACACAGAGAGTCTGAAGAAATCTGGATTTGGTAAGCAAAATCTATACATACTTACTTTGCATTAGATTCCATTAAGTTTAGTGGCTCGTATTCCCAGGTAAGTATGCACAGAGTGCTGGTATGCTGATAGACAGATAAGCTGGAATAGCCCAGCTTATTCCATATATACTGGGGTGAAAATTGAGGAAAAATACTTGGAATGTTGAGCTTTTTTTTCCCCTTTTTTTTTTTTATAAAAAGGAAATAGATCAATACAGACCTTTGTGCTGGGCTTCAAGCACAAGGAAGCCTGTGCATGCTTACTCTATATTAAGTCTTGTTTAGTTCAATGGTTGATACTCCTAAGTAAGTACATATAGGACTTCATTCCTGTTCAATCACTGCCCTCTCATTCCATTCCAGATGCTGAGGCTGAGTGTTTGTATTGGGAAATCTCTATCTATGGAGGTTATCTGCAAAGTGAGGATCCTAATTATTCAGAATCCTCATTTGAATTACAAACCCCCATGTACAGAAGAGACTCTCTACTGCAAACATGTATCCTCTTAAACATGCAGAGCAACAAGATAAGGGCAGTTGTTCGTCCATGGTTGTCCCTTTTTCCTTGAAGGGCAGCAACTCATCCCCCTTACCACCCTTTCTTCTACCTGCCTGGCTTACTCATAATCCTCCAATATCATGTTCTCAACAAATATAAAATGAAGTCTTCTAATTCACAGGTGGTTATTAGGAGAAAAACTCTAATCTTTCCTTGGTATATACAGTATATGGTACACACAATATCCTTGTGTGTGCAGGCTCTATTTACTAAATTTACATCCCACCTTTTCTCTAAGAGTTCAAAGTGGTTCTTTCTCCAACACATATACTTTTACCCTCCCAACAAACTTGTGAGGCAGATACTGGGACAGTGGTTGACCCACAGTCATACAATATTGGTTCAAACCCAAGTTACCGCAATCCAAATCAAATTCTTCTTGCACCAGACTGCCTCTCAACCAGCTAACATCCTAGAAACAGTTCTGTAAAACCATCTCAGTAATTTGTATTACTTTACCTGTTTTAAATAGTTGCTTGTAATGTGTACTGAAACATCCTGCTGAGATTTTTCCAGACTCTTCAGGCATCTTTCCAAAGTCCCTACAAAGCTCTCACGCAAGTAGTCCACAGAACTTATCAGTTTATTAGCAACTGCTTGGTTTAACCGTGAGATTATCAGTTCCTGGATTTGCTTAATACAGCATTTAATATCTTTAGAACTAATAGGCTCTCCATTCTCAGGAGTGATTATATCTAGAAGAGAGAGGGAAAAAAATCAACATTAAAAAAAAGTATAAGCAGCTACTCGAAACAAATATATTACATTTTGTGCTGGAGTGCAATTAAAACTTTGTAACATGCTAGCTAAACTGGGTTTTTAGTAACATTCTTCCATCTGGAAAACCCACAAATTAAACATTTTGTCCCTTGAAGTTAGTAGGAGAGTTAAGAATTTATTTAACTCTTTTCAGTGAAGGTAGGACCAATTTAGATAAAATCAAACTCACCTGAAAATAAACCCTATTAAGCTTTCCTATGAGTAGAAATTTTCAAAACTGCACTGCTAAAATATTCAGACTAATTGGACCACTTCACTAGATTATTGCAATGTTATATAGTGAAACCTCAATTTAGCAACCATATGCTAGCAAGACAGCAGGACCCTCATGAAGACTGTATAACATTCTGTGCAAAATGTGCAAAACTTCATAAAATACTTCTACAGAAAACTGTGTATCTTATTTAAAAAGCTGTATCTCTTTCAGTCATAGACAGCCATCACATTAGGCATTCCCCAATGTGGGCATACTTCAGACATGTAGGTTTCAGCTCCCAGAATTCTTAGAAATGTCCATGCTACCTAGGGAGTATCCAGCTGGGGAAAACTGCTTTATACTAATAAATTACTCATGCTGATCCAACGTGTATGAAATTTCCACCAATTTGTTTCAATCCTGATGGCATGTTCACTTGACTTGTAAGCATTTAAAAGCAAAACATGTGGATGAGCATTTTTATATGGACCAACATGGGAATCCCTAAGAAGGAGGTTTTCCAAAATCAATACATGATGTAAAACAGAATTGTCTTTACAGGCAATTATGTTTTATGGCATGACTTGCATTACCTTTGAATTCCATATTAGCAGCATCTTCCAGCAGCTCTTCTTTCATGTTACTGAGAGTTTCAATTATCATATCTTTCATTTCTTCTTGTTTGCGGTTGGCTATACTCATCAGAGATTCATACAGTTCATTCTCTTTTTTCCGTGTATACTCTAAACGCTTTGGAGTGATTTGCAAGTCTCGTTGCATGTCAAAGGCTTGGTTGATAAAGATGTCTAAGCAACGGTAGTGTACAATGTTCAAAATGGTGGCAGCGTCTACCAGGCGCTGTTGTAGCACTTGTTTGGAGAAAGTGCTAAGCAGACGGATCTTATCTGATTGTTCTACCAGCATGCTTTGGGCTTTGGTATCAGTACTAGGAGCTCCACAACTGCAATGGTTGCTATTAAGATAATCTAAATCTAGCAGCTGCCGAAAAAGGGATGATTTTTCAGTTTCTTCATTTTGAGGAGATATTAGTTCAGATCCCAAATTTAGTACTTTGAAAAAGAAGATGGGTAAAGAGAATTTTTCTTTAATCTCTTGTAGTTCATTCACATCCAGTGTTGAAAGTTCAGCCTCACTGATGGCAAAAGTGATGACTGGAAGAACATTGTTGATGTATTCTCCCAAAGTGACTTCAGCTGACTGGAATCCCCGACATGGAGCTATCACAATATCCACTTCCTGAAGATAGCAAAGCATTAAAAATTTAACATTAAAGGTTGATTTGAGCTTTGCATCCAGCACTCCCTCCCTTCCACATCCATAGCAAGAAATGTATCTCTCCTGCTTTCAAGGGCAATCTGAGAAAGATAAACATAATAAAGTTCTTTAAGTACAATAAAAATCCCAATTTTGTATGAGTGAAGACAGTCCCTCAAACCCTTTTTCCTTTAACTCTGAGAATTATAAAAAAACTTGTATTCATGATGTCAATCCTTCCTCATTTAGGTAGAGAACATGTTCTACTATATGACAGAAGAAATGGCTTCCTACACTTGTAGATAATCCAGTGCAACTGTTCAGTGCAAAGCAGATAAACCTGTTTAGTTTTCAGTGAAGTGGCTAACTTGAATATTGTCTATATGGTTTTAGAATGGAGATAAAACATACCATTGGATGTGGTCCTCCACAAAACATTCCTACAGAGAAAAAGCAAACAAAAAACTCTAACATATCATGGTCAGATCTAATGTAGAACTAACCTCCCCAACATCTACTTTCCTATATGGAAGGAAATCTCAAAACAGAGGGTCAACATCAGGATCATCCGTTTCCACCTGCTTGAAGCTGCGTTACAGATAAACCATCGTTAGAGGAATGTAGGAGGTGAATGTTTGATGCATCCAGGAATTAACCTCCTAGAAAATTACAGTAAAGTAACTTTGACTCCATTTCAGATAAGCAACAAGACCAAGCCCATATTGCTAATAAGAACATATTTTGAACAAGGCCCACCAGTAAGCTAAAAAACCTTCTTGTAAGTGCTCCAATATTAAAATTTGTGAACTTGTATCATTGTGACATCCTTAAAACTCTCTCTCTTGTGTATTCTAATTGGGATGCCACTATATTTGATAGAGGGCAAGGTATTCTGGTATTTAATATTTAAATCCAAATATATGTGACCATAATCCTTCATTCATGAAACTGTCAAAAAATAAGACACATTGCTATTAGTTACAAGCGGGGTGTGCGTGTACATCTTTACCTACTGTATACAACATAATACCACCATCATTCAGGACTCAAAGCAGTGGATATTGCACTCCCTCTTCCCACTTTATCCCCCAACAATCATCCTATGAGAGATTGCTGAGGGAAAGTGACTAGCTTCAAATCACTACTGTAGCTGACGGTATACTTAATGTCCTTCCAGTGCCAGTCCAACTTTCAGCAAAACATTACTCAGCAAAGGCTCTGATGATACATTACCCCAATGTTTTTCACGACAGAAAAACATAATAATTAAGGCTATATTATTTTGTAGGTAGTTCATAAGTAAACTGCCTAGTCTTTGTATCAGGTATCTTTGCTCTTCATAAAGCCAGTTGCCACATGTCCTGTAACTGAATTACAGCTACTAAACTGATTTAGGTTAACCTATAATAACTTTATATTTGAGTGTTAAACTACCTTGGCAGTAAGAACTCTTTTCTTATCTATACAGTATTTGT